GATCTGGGAAAAACTAGGAGTTTTCACTAGGAAATCCCCATAGACGGCGCCAAATTGTTTGATTCAAAAGATGTTAAGACAATTTTTTGAGCAAATCAATCAAAGATGAAGAGGTAAATCCTAGTCAAACTTAGTTAATTCCAGATTGAAAGATTTAGTAATGATGATTGCATAACTAGCAAAGGAAATATCGATAATCTTATTAAAATTTAATATCACTCGATGAGAAGAGAGAATTACAATTGTTTCTCCTCTTAGGATATAGGATTGGAGCTTTTCTTTTCTTTTCCCTTCTAAGGGAATCCCCCTCCTCGAAAGCCTTCCTGCGCTATATATATAGTCGAAATCTCTTTACTCTCAATGTGACTTGACGCGTTTTGGTCAATAGTGCATTCTGGTCGTAGCTCTAGGCGTTGCTCTTTTCGGTTTGTCGGGTGTCTCGGAGGAGAAATGGAGAGGACTCTGTTGACTTTCACTACCCGATTGCTGAAAAAAGGAGGTCGTGGGCAACCTGGTCGTGATGGTCACATTTTGACCAATACAGCTATAAGCTTCCCCCTTGTCTTTAGTTAATGGCGAAGTAAAATCTCTAAAATCAAAGTAGTCCATAAAAGCATGTGTTCTGAGAGAAGTTTATGTGCAAACATGTCATTAATTCATCTATTCCTTTGATATATAAGCTCTTAGTGTGGAGTTTGGGTAAGTTTTTAACCCAAAATCCTACTATGAGGGAGTAACATATTTAGAAGCTTCTTTCAATAGACAATTTACAAAGTTTAGACTTTTATTTCTATTTATGTCCAAGTTGTTGCTACCACAATCGTTGATTCATCATTCGTTGGTTATCTTAACATTTTCTGCAATATTAAACTAAATAAGGTTATATTAAAAGAGGTGCACATTCCGCACCTTAATTGTTGAAAAAAGATTATTGACGCAATGAAGGTGCTTCTTCACCAAGTAAATTTTTAATTAAAAAAATATTTTTGATAACCTTCAAAGACTAAAATTAGCGTCGTAACTTTGGGATGTTACCCTTTGGATTGAACTTTAAAGAAATCATTGGATCAACATGTAACCTGATAAAGTCAATATTAGATAAGAGTGGTTTGATGGAGTTAGCTCATAATGTCCAGAGATTTACCTGGAATGATAAAGGGGGAGGTCAAAGGTTATACTCAAAAATAGATTGGATGTTTATCAAGAATGAATGGCTGCATAGCATGCCTACATATAAAGCAGTATATTTTGCAGAGGGAATTAGTGATCACTGCCCTATAAAGATCACAATGGAAGACAACAATGTTAAGGAATGGTCCAATACTAACAGAGGAGCATCGGTTGAACATACTCAGGCCTTTCATTGAAGGGGATGTTAAGAAGGCTGTCTTTAGTATTGACGTCAATAAGAGTCCCAGGCCGGATGGTTATTGTTGAAATTACTGCCTCAACAGCTGGAAATTTTGCATAGCTGCTGAATTTCAAAATCTGCTCAAAGCAAGGAAGTTGTTGAGATAAATAAGCTTGTAACTGTTAGCAGAATCTTATCTTTCTGTTGCTATTTGTTAGGATATAGCTGTTAGGGATAATCTGCAGCTGATTTTTCTGCTTTTCTTTAAAACTTTTCAGTTATAAATTCATGTATAAATATGGCTTTGATTATTGAATAAAATATCATGAGCAGAATATTCATATCTCCTTTATTCCTTTGCTTTATATTCTAATAGTTATGGAAGTGATTTTTTCAGAGCAGCATGGAGTATGGTAGGAAAGGATGTAGCAGAGGCAGTGCTGGCGTTTTTCCAAACTGGCCAACTTCTGAAACAAATAAATGCCACCAATATTGCACTCATTCCATATCAACTCCTAAAACTTATAGTCAATACAGACCAATTTCATGTCATAATGTGATCTATAAGGTGATATAAAAACTTATATGCTTGAAGCTTTAAGAAGGGATTCGCCATCTGTTGTCTGAAAATCAGACAGCCGAAAAAATCGATGGTGCATAATGTCTTTGTTTGCCACGACCTTCCAAGACATTATAACAGAAAAACAATCTCTAAATGCCTTATGAAGATTGACTTAAGGAAAGCATATGACTTGGTGAGCTGGAAATTTATAAAAGAGGCATTAAATGGCTCTGAGTTTCTATAGAAATTTGTCGAGCTTGTGATGGAGTGTGTAACCTCAACAAAGTATTATATCATTGTTAATGGAGAAGGGAATGGCTATTTTGAGGGGAGAAGAGGACTAAGGCAGGGGGGTCCCATGTCTCCCCTCCTATTTATACTAGTTATAGAATATTTGTCAAGAACACTTAAGTATGAGTGAACTTCCAGATTTTAAGTTTCACCCAATATGTAAACAGCTCAAGCTCACTCACTTGGTGTTTGCTGATAATTTAATGCTCTTATGCAAAGGCTAAGAGAAATCTGTCAAAAGATTAATGGAGGCACTAGATCACTTCACCAAGGTTACAGGCTTGATAGCAAACGTGGAAAAATCAAGCATATTTGTTGTAGGGGTAGATGAATCAACTAAGAAGAGGCTACTGGGAATAACTGGATGCACAATTGGGACCTTCCCTATCAAGTATCTAGGACTACCATTTTTTTCAAAGAAGTGGAACAAACTTAATTGTCATCAATTGACTGATAAGATCACTTAGAGAATAAAGTGGGAGATTATAACTAATTAATGCAGTACTCTTCTCCAAACATAATTTTTGGAGGGGCGTATTTATACTTCCTCAGAGTGTGCTTAAAGAAGTTGATAAGCTATGTGGGGAGAACTTATGGGGAGGTACAGAAGAGAAGAAGAAGACACCACTAATATTTTGGGATAAGATGTATGTGCCTTAAAAGTTTGGGGGACTTAATATTAAGAGTTGTCGACAATGAAATATTGCAGTTGTTGGCAAGCTTATATGGAAGTTATCAAAGAAACAGGACTCCTTATGGGTGAAGTGGGTCCATGGTGTATATATGAGGCATGACAATAATATCTGGACACATAGGCCCCCTCTGTATTGCAGCTGGTATTGGAAGAAGTTAAATTGATGACATTATCACCTGGTACTTAAATGGCAAATACATGTTGAATTCTACTGGAAGATATTCTATTACAGGAAGCTACATTGCTCTCAAAGGTAATCTTATAAAATGGGCTACTACTGACCTGGTGTGGACTGCTATTGCTCAACCAAAACATCGGTTTATTATATAGTTAGATGTACAGAACAAACTCTTGACGAAAGATAGACTTCGACAACTAAGTATTCAAGTGGATAACAGTGAATGTTGCCTATCTAGTACACACAACAGAAACTCCTCTACATCTATTTGCAGAATGTGCACGGACCAGTGCTCTTCGTAAGGAAATGGAAAGCTGACTAAGCATTCAACTCCAGGCAGGAGAGGTGAAGAAGGTAATAGAAAGAATCAGAAGCTAGCATTGGAAGCAAGCAACTAAGGAAACAACAACGGCTATATGAAGTGCTATCATCTATCATACGTGGAGGGCAAGGAAGTGGGCCATTTTCAAGAAATAAAGTGTAAATATTGAGTTAGTTGTAGTACAGATTCAGAAGGAAATTGTACATAAATTAGACCTTCTAATCTAAACTAGGAGAAACTATAGGAACAATAAACTGATACAAAAAATCATGTGTAACTAGAAAGTCATCTCTGAGGCCTAATTCTTCACATTAGTCTTCCTAGAAGGTGGATGTGTGGTTAGGTGCTCTTTACGTGTATTGTGAACTCATATTTGTTGGTATGGTAATATTGACAGTTGTTACCAAAAAAATAAAAACATGTAAGCGGATGATAGGACTATTAGTTGATCTTTGTGCGACAAAGGTTGTCCAAAAGACAACTTTGGTCTATTTGTAAAGGAGAACTTGTAACATAGTTTATTCATGGTATTGATGATAGTATCATTGGTCGATCTTTGTCCAACAAATAGGACGATTCAGATCAGCGCGTAAAAATAGTTATTTTCTTGGAAAAAGACAAGTATTGAAAGTTGTTTAGAGGTCAATTTTTGGATTTGAAAAAAAAAATGCCAAAAAGTGCATAACCCAATGGACTGGAGAAGGCATAATCAAACAAAAAAACACTAATTTATTCAGTATGATGAAGAGTTTGCCGTCCCCTGAAATTTCTAACACAAAACCTGTCACAATCCCACAAACTTACAACAACAACCACAACAAATCCAGTTTGATCCCAAGATGTAGGGTCTGGGGAGGGTAATCTGTACGCAGACCTTACCCCTCCTAATGCAGGTAGAGAGGCTGATTCAATCCCACAAACTTAGATAAATAATAATCGGAAAAGTGTCAAATATACCTTTGTACTATCAGAAAAGGTTTAAATGTACCCCTCTTTATACTTTGAGTAGGTTTAAATGTACCCCTCTTAATACTTTGAGTTCAAATATACCCCTATCGTTATCAGTGGCGGAGCCAAAATTTTCATGAAGGGGTGTCAAAATATAAATAATTAGATACATCGAAAAATTAAGGGGAGTCAACGTATAGTAAATATACATAAAATAAAAAAATTATCTAGTAATATAATGCAATTTTTTCCGGCGAAGGGGTGTTGCTTGATACCTCTTGGTTCAATGTGGCTTCGCCACTGGTCGTTATACTTTGAGTCCAAATATATTCATATCGTTATATTATTGGTTCAAATATACCCGTTTTTTGTTAAGTTTGTCCAAAATGGACATTCAATCATACGTGACACTGACATTTGAACCCAAAGTATAACAAAGGGTATATTTAAACATTTTCTATATTTGGCTCTTTGCCGAATAATAATTTAGTGTCTCCAATTGTGTTGTTCATTGAACTCTTTAACAATCGTGACACGCCAGAAAATAAGTCAAATAACAGCACGAATCAGAGACAAGATTGCCAGCTTTAAAAATAATAATATCTGAATACAACAGCATAATAACTTCCAAAATAACAGCAACTTGATCCCTTAAATATGCCCAGTTCTGTCTCTTTTCGCTAGAAAAAACCTTTTGCTCTCATTTCTTTTAGCACCTGAGTGTCTAATAATAATAACACACACATAGTAACATCATAAACTCTTCTCTATTTGCATAGCCAATGATCAAACACCAAAATAGTCTCTCCTATCATCGTTTTTTGATACAATGACCATTGACGAGCCTGAGCCTAATTCCAATTCCGACCCCATCTCAGAGTGGCTAGATACTTTATCTGATGTTCCATCCTTCCTTGACGAACCTTATAATTACCCCGAGGATTTCAATTTCTATGGAGACTCATGGTGGATTCCTCCAAATCAAGATAAGCATATCGTTAATCACGATATCATCGACAACAATATTTGTACCTCATTCAACTATAGCTCCCCGGTCAACGCAGCAACTAGCACAATTCCTCCCGAGCCTATCATTTTGGATCTGTCCAAGAAGAGGAAAACATCAGGCTCTGAATCTGATCATAATCCAAAGGTGTCAAGGAAGAATCGGAACCGTCACACTAATGAGGCCGACGAAATGAAGAAATCAACAGGACACAAGAGAGTAACAAACAAATCCACAACAAATAACTGTAGCAATAAAGAAGGAAGATGGGCAGAGCATTTGCTCAACCCTTGTGCTGCAGCTATTACTGTTGGTAACATGAACCGCGTGCAACATCTGTTGTACGTTCTCCACGAGCTCGCGTCGTTCACATGCGACGCAAACCATAGGCTCGCGGCTCATGGACTCCGCGCGCTGACACATCATCTCTCTTCCCCTGGCTCATCCTCTTCATCCGTTGGTGTTACAAATTTCGCTTCTGCAAATCACAAATTCTTCAGGGACTCGTTGATCAATTTCAATGATATTAATCCCTGGTTTCGAATCCCGAATAACATCGCAAACTCAGCCGTTCTACAAATTCTTGGAGAACACGATAAGCTAAAGAACCTTCACATCCTTGATATTGGAGTCTCTCACGGCGTTCAGTGGCCAACTCTTCTTGAAGAGTTGACTCGACGATCAGGTGGGCCACCACCGTTAGTTAGACTAACGGTTATTACGCCCACCGTAGAGAACGCAGAATTAGGAGGCACCCCATTTGTGATCGGCCCGCCTGGTTACAATTTTTCATCGCAACTGCTAGCTTTTGCTAAGGCTATCAACATCAATCTACAGATCAACAGACTGGACAATTTCCCTCTACAGAATCTTAATTCCCAAGTCATCAATTCTTCAGAGGACGAAATATTAGTCACTTGTGCTCAGTTTAGACTCCACAATTTGCATCACAATAACCCGGATGACCGAACGGAGTTCTTGAGAATACTGAAGAGTTTGGACCCGAAAGGAGTAGTTGTGAGCGAGAACAATATAGATTGTAGCTGCAACAGTTGTGGGGACTTCACGACAACGTTCTCGAGGCGAGTGGAGTACTTATGGAGGTTTTTGGACTCGACAAGTGTAGCGTACAAAGGACGTGAGAGCGAAGAAAGGAGGATGATGGAAGGGGAAGCTGCAAACGCATTGACAAATATGGGAGAAATGAATGAAAGGAAGGAGAAATGGTGTGAAAGAATGAGGAGTGTTGGCTTTGTAAAGGAAGTGTTTGGAGAGGATGCCATTGATGGAGCTCGGGCGTTGTTGAGGAAGTATGATAGCAATTGGGAGATTAGAGTTGAAGAGAGAGATGGCTGTGTTGATCTATGGTGGAAAGGGCAGCCTATTTCTTTCTGTTCATTATGGAAGACATGAGAATTTGAAATTCCAATCAATTGTAGAGCAACTCAATTTTAGTTTCAGGAATGTATGAACTGTCAAGTAATCAAAAGTGTAGTTCCTCGTGTATCTGCCTACCATGTTAGACAATATACTGATTAGTGTATTTGCAGAGGCAACAAGTCAAAAATCATCTAGTATTTCTCTAGCAATTGATTATACGTATGTGCTTGGTCCATGTGGATAGTTTAACATTGTTTAAACTAATCCTGATTAAGCTGAATGCTTTTAGGTTGAAGCTATTTATCTCGTTTAATAACTTTTACGATAGTTCTTCATGCTTGAAAGTCCCATTAACAGTTAATAATTTATAAACAGGGAGGCAATAACAGATAAATAAGCCTAGAAACATCGACATTGACAGGATTAATTCCATTGTGTCAACTAGATGCAACCATTTATGTGCATGCTTTGATGAAAACATCACGTGAACTTGACATGATCCTCTTCTTGGTTACTCTGCAAGATAAACGCTTTAATCAAAGCATTGACTGAATCAGGAGATTCGATGTTCGCTGCATGTCCTGTGTTCTTGATTATTTCCAGTTTCGCTCTAGGCCCCAGATGTCTGCAAGTTAAGATATATGAAATTCAGTAGTAACAGTCTAGGTGTCCACTTTAAACATAAGATCATGAAGAGAAGCGGAGAGTAAGACAAGTGAGGCTTGCTCAGCACCGTTAGGTCCTGGGTTCGAGTCACACTAGAGGGGCAGTGTGGAAACACTATAGATCCTCTTAAAAATAAGAAGAAAAAAAGTGGAGAGTAAAGTACCTTTGCAATTGTTGGCCGAACATAAGAGGGAAAACTCTGTCTTTATCACCCCAAATAAGCATTGTTTCCTATACACACCAAAGCAACAAAGTTCTTTCTTGGTTATGTAAATAGTCAATAGAATGATTGAACAACCAAGAAAGTTTTGCTATTTTGTCCTAAGAGGAATTTGACCTGAGTTAAGATGGGCAATATGCAATCTGTATGATCGGACAGCAAGTGGTACACTAGCTCTTGCTTCTCCTTCAGGTAACTTCTGCACATTACCTTAAAAAAAATACCTTTTAGGTCTCAGCAATCTTGAAGACTTGAACGATGACTCATATTGGTGCAGAATCCAAGAAGAATGTTCTATTTGGTTGCAACTTTTTAGTGCCACATTAACCTTCTACCCTCTAATGGCTAATATGTTAGAACATTGATCTTATCAGTTTAATATCTGACAGATCATCGGCCGATACGATATTAACTCAATTTTTTAAGGGGTTCATCAAGGTAGCTTGCTACCTAGGCCTTCACATGTCGCCCTTGCATTGCACTATTGCTCAGGCCTGGGTGCACGGGCAGCTTAAACACATGTGTGACCTAAAGCCAAAGTTCAATGTGAGACCTAAGTTTTTAAAAGAAAGGTATGATACATATTTTTATTTGAAGTCTATTTTTCGATCTTTTTGAGATGCAAAGTTGTTAATGATTTTTTTATTATCGATTTCCTCTAATAATTTATTTTCATTTGATAATATAGCCAATCCATTTAATTTATCTTGAGACATTGTTAATCTCAGGTTAGGATTTATCAATTATAATCTTGTAAAACTTCTTTTCTTTGAGGCAACTGCTATAAAAAAAACTCTACTTTTGTATATAAAGTACTAAATATTTTTTTGTTAAATACTTATAAACCTATATTTTTTTAAAAATGGGCCTCCAAATTTGGGGGTCTAAGGCATAAGCCTTACTTGGAACAACGTTAGAGCGAACCTGAGCTCAAATACATGTGTGGCTTAAAGCCAAAGTTTAACGTGAGACCTAAATCTTTAAAAAAATGTTATAGAATATATTTTTATTTGAAGTCTATTTTTCTAGCTTTTTTAGATCCAAAGTTGTTAATAATTTTTTTATAATTGATTTTCTCTAATAATTCCTTTTCAATTGATAGTATAGCTAACATATTTAATCTTTCTTGAGACATTGTTGATCTTAGGTAAGATTTTATCAATTATAATTTTGAAAAACTTATTTTCTTTGAGGCAACTATTATAGAAAAACTCTACTTAAGTACTAAATATTAAACTTTTAAATACCTATAAACATATTATTTCTTAAAAAAATTGGTGCCCCCCAAATTTGGGGGCCTAAGGCACAAGCCTTGCTTGTAGATTTGGCGGATGTATTCCAGTATATTAAAAGAATTTTTTTTAATGTATTCCAGTAGATTTGACGGATTTTAGATTTATGGAATAAATTTGAAATCGATTTGACATGCTCACCTATAGTGCTTTTAAGTAACTAATGGCATGTAGGAACAAAATACCAGAACGACACTTTCATTACCAAAAATGTAGTGGAGTAGCTATACCAATTATTGGAATGCTGCACGGAATTCGTTTTGCATCACACTTTTGGCAAAAAAAGTGTATTGCTGGACTAATATACTGTTCCCTCCTTTTTCGTTCTCTTTTTTTTTATTCGACGTCGACCTATTTATTTGTACTCGAAATTTTAAATCAATAAATAAAAATTAGAAATTTATAAATTTAAATATAACATGACGTTTGTATGGCTATAAAATCATGACATTAAGAGTACAATGAAAAGTTTAAAATTAATTTTTAAATTTTAAAAATATTACTCCTTAAAAAGGAACGCTTCTTTCTATATTTAATAACTCTTTAACTCCAATTTTCACATGGAGTATTGAAGATCCCAAGATCTAAAGGTTTTGTTACTTTCTTAAACGTTGCTTAGGCAAATTAACAAATATAAATTGAAATATATGAAGTATTATTTTTTATACGAACAAACTAAAAAAGAAATAGTATTCCTTAGAGGGCGTTAGGACAAAAGAATTGTAAAATTCCGGGAAAAAAAATCAAATGAAAATGGTATTTAAAAATTAGAGTTGTGTTTGCACATTAATATAATTTTGGGTTGTCTTTGAATTTTTGTGAGTAATCTAAGTTAAATTCTGAAAAACAGCTTTTGGAATTTTTTTAAAAATTTCAAAATTTCAAAATTCATCTTCAAGTAAAAATTAAAAATTTTATGGCCATTCTAATTACAAAAAAAAGTAAAAAAATAAATTTTTTTAAAAAAAGGTAAAAAGAATTTCATGGCCAAACGGGCTCTTAAAATTAAAAGGAGGGATTAGCTGTAGTATTGAACGCAACTCACATCGATGAATTCCTGGAGAAAAGCATCAGGGGCCCACTTGAAAGGATTATACTTGTAAATTGACATGTTCACCAGCACATGCAAATCCTCCGGTTTTGCTGGTATCAGCAATTCCACCGGATCTCTTCCTATCCTTTTCAACTGCTCCTCCTTCTGTTCTTTCGTGCACCCAACTCCACTACTCAGTATCACCACTTTCTCCACCAATTCCGGATACATTTCCGCCATTTTATACCCCACAAATCCGCCGTAGCTAATGGAAAACATCGAACACTTTTTTACTCCCAGTCCCTTTAACCCTTCCACTACGCATTTCGCTTGAAATTCCTCAGTTCGTTCGGGTCGGGTCGTATACGATTTCCCGAAGAAGAGAAGGTCCGGAATATATAAATTGAACGATTGAGCTAAGGATTTGACTTGGTACATGAATTGCCACTTAGCGTCGCCGCCGTAACCGTGGATCAAGACGAGATTAGGCTTGTTGAAATGGCGATGATTAGGGGCCCAGAAGTGGACGGTGGTCTGCTCGTCTAAATCGAGGGTGCATGGCGAGAGATTGGAGAAGCGGAATAATAAGGAAATGTAAGCGTCGATGAAAGGGAAAAAGATAGGGAAGCGTTTAATGGAGGGTAAAGGGGTGAGAATCCAACGGAGAATGGTGGCGAAGACGGAGAGATAGAAGGATAAGAGATTGTAGAAGCAGAGACGCAGAGTCTCCATCACTGCCTGCCTCTACAGGATATTGGAAGAGAAATGCATGATCCAGCCCATAACATTATATAATAAGCTTCATTTCTGTGTCCATGTACATTTTTTTTCATTCATCATGTTAAATTGATCTCTCGACAAAAAAGAAATATTAATTTAATTGACAACTTTCGATAAGAAATCAAATATGATAGACCCAAACAATATAGTAATAATCTGTTATAATCAATTAAATTACATCAATAGTATAAAAATAAGTTATTATGTCCTCCGTTCAATTTTACTTGTCCATAATTGCATGCTTTCTAAAAAATAATAAATAAAGTGTATATTTTACCATAGTACTCATAATAATAATAATAATACTCCCTCCGGTTCATAATAAGTAACCAATTTGTTTTTTTATTTTGGTCCAAAATAAGTGTCCATTTATATAATCAAGAAAAAATTCAATTTGTTTTTCCAAAATTATCCTTATGTACGTATCCCTAAAAAGTCATTTACTCCTCACATTTGAGAAGAGAAGTAAGTGCTACTATAAGTATGGTGCAACATTTAATGAAGGGTAGTTTAGTCACACTAACTATTTTCGTCTAGAATTTAGTATTTCCTTAATGTGTGTGCCCAAAACAAATTGGTCACTTATTATGGACCGGAGGAAATAGTATTTTGAGAAGTCTTGAAAAATAATTTGTGAAATGAGTAATTAATGACAAAAGTAAAACAAAAAGAAAAAATCTGGTCCTCTCTTACGTGAATACCTTACATTCATACTCATATTAACTGTCGTGGTTTCTAAAAATAGTTGTCTCAAATTATTTATCATTTTAGAAGTTCAAGAGTAAATTAATTATTTTTTCCTATTCAACCGTTAATATTAATTGTTTTTGAAGACTACAAATACCTCAATTATGAGTAAGTAATAAATGAAAAGAAAATATATCTTAAGACATAAATAAGGGCAAAATAGTCAAAAACCTTTTATATTTAATATTTTCTTAAGGGATGTGTAAAAGAGAAATACGACAGATAATATGAGACGGAGGAAGTAGATCTTATGTTGCTCGCATTAATTGACGTTGCAATATTTGTCTTAAATATTATCAAATTAAGTTGATCAACAACGAATAACTTTTCATAAACTTACTAATTGGGAATATGTTTTAAACTTGATAAATAAGAGTGAACAAGATTCCTTAGGACACCCTAAAGGAAATGGGTAAAAAAATAGGAGAATTTGTTCCATCCCAATGTTTGTCTTTTTCTTTTAGAGC